TGAACATGGACAAGCAATAATCTAAGAATCTGCTCACTTATAAGCAAGGAGGAGAGGGATAAGATGCATGGATGTTAAGTTCAGAATAGCATCTTTCATAACTCTGAGACATACATTTTAAAGGCTTCACTGGAATTCAGCATTTTCATTAAGGATAGGCAAATGGATTGTTCAGATTCACCTATGATATATTAACAAGGAATTGAAAATTCCCAAGAATCAACCTTTCAGCATAATTTCTATGAAATGGTTGAGTTGATTTTAAAAAAAGGGGTTTTCCTTGTTTCAGAAAGTTACAATTGTCTGCTCTTTGTGCTATTTCATCAGCTTTGATTTTTCAATGGTTTCTGAATGTTGTTATCATGAAGCATAAATGAATGACTTTTTCTGGAGAGCAATGGATAAACATGTCATAATTGAGGTTATCAGCTGTAAATGGATTTGTAAAGTTTTAAATCAATCATACAAGTTTACTTAAACTATATTAAAAGTATATTAAATTCAATTTAATCTATAGAATTGCCTTCCAGTTTGGTACCACCAGACATGTTAAATTATAATTTTTGTCATCCCAGTCAACCATAAGAGATGCTGTCATTAAAAATAAATATAGTTATTCCACTTAGAATAGTTGAATTATTTTAATAAGTTAAAATAGTTATTTTATTGTAAGCAGAGCAATTGGTTGTAGTGAATATTGAGGGTTTTTAACTTGCATTGGGTGTTGGCTCAATCCTGCTAGTGCATTTGATGACGAGTGATTGTATTTCTAATAAGGGTTGCTTATTTTTTTCCATTAGTATTTAATTGTTGTGTATGCATCTTGGGTCCCCTCCCCTTGGCAGATGTCAGAATATGAATTTCTAGATTTATAATGTCAACCCTGGCCCAAGTTTTTCTCTAAGCTTCTGCCACTCAATTGCGTCCATTGGAGATGGTCAGAGAGAGAAAAGAGTATTTTCCAGAATTGTTGGTTGAGTATTTGTTTGGGATAATAAGTGAAAATCATTTTAGGAATGTCTTTTATGCATTTATTCCTTTTTATAAAAAAAAAAAAATCTGCTCTAATGCATAGATACATGCTTGTTGCTGCCTTCCTTGACTTCAGATACTAAGGATGGCTGGATTCCATGCAACTGGGATCAGCAAAAGAGAGTTTGGAGGACTCTGACCCCTTTGTTCCAAATAATTTGCCTCTGGCTCCTGCCACATAGCCTGTTTAATTCATTCTCTCCTTCCTCTCAAGGCTTTCCACAAAAGCAAGACAATTACCAGAACACAGACACCTTTGTAGCTGTGCCTTGGTGAAAAGCCCAATTAATTGCGCTGCATTTTAAAGTAACGTATGCATTAGGGATGGCAGCTTACTGTGTAGCACATTGTTTTGCACTTACTTATTTAGAAAAGCTTGCCTCTGTCTTTTAATTAGAAGGAGGATTTTGCTTTGGAGGAAAAGTTCCTTCAGAAAGCCAGCTCTGGTGCTCCACTGGTTGAAACCCTCATGGGTGCCCTGCAGTGTCACTGGCACTAAGGGGGGTGGGGGGTGGGGGGAGAAAAACCATTGCACGTGATAATTAGCCTCCTCCCAAATATAAATTTCTGGTGCTAATTGCTGGACTAAGTGAAGCTCTAGTTTAGCCGCAGATGAATCAGCTAAACAAACACAGAGGCAACCAAAACACACAGATGTGCTTCTGTCTCCAAATCTGCATGCTAATTATTGTTTGCAGTCTTCAAAATCCCCTCACGCCTGCTCCCTTTCTCACTCCTTGATTACTTCAGTACAAAGAGATAACAGCAATCAACACTTCACAGTGTTCAGAAACAGGCTGGTCAACAGCAAGGACAATAAATAAACATCACAGATGAATGTTCTTTCTCAAGTTCCTATACAATACTTAAGAATCTTCTTTTCTGGAGAAAATATCTTCCAGTTATTTCAACATGACTTGTGCATGGCAATGATTAGTTGCAGCGTCTATTACCATGACCCCATCTTGCAATATGGCTTTAAGAAATGTTTCTTACTGTATTCAAAATAAGGCAAAAAGGCAAGAGCATAGTTAGATGTGGACTGGGAGTAAGAGCTGGAAGAGTGATATTTCCCTGATGGCCACTGAAGGTTTTGCATTGCTGAATTGTCAGGAAGTGTGTGAATAGTCACTGAACTCCACATATGACGAGGGAGGCATTTTGGAGAGTTGGGAAGGCCTCATATGCAACCAAATTCCAGCTTGAGGGAGGAGAGACCCTGGCCCTTGGCTACCACCCCAATTCTTTTTTATCCAACTCATGGACACTTATGCCTGCTGAATTCCAAATGGATGAAACTGACTTCATGATGTCTCCTGTTAGTCAGTGGGTCTTAGGACCAGTAACTATTTCAAGAGGCTGGAACTAAATAATCAATACATTCCAGTCTCCCACAGATGCTATAATTCCCAGCCAGCTGTAGCCCAAGAGAACAGAGGGATAAAGCCCAGAGGCACTGTTTTAGTAAATTGGTTTGTTATATGTTGTGAGTCACCAAGAGTCTGGTGGATGTAAATGTGATAGATAGATAGATAGATAGATAGATAGATAGATAGATAGATAGATAGATAGACAGACAGACGAATGAACAAACATATGTATGTATGTATGTATGTATGTATGTATGTATGTATGTATGTATGTGTTGGTGCTTATGTAGGAATGACATGCTAGTCTGCCCTGAAATCTGGATGTTTCTGTGTGAGTTTCAAGACTATTCTTGACTCTGAAAAAAAAAAGGTTAAATTGTAAATCATGCTTGAGGATGTTTATGCAGAGATTTACTGGAATCAGAGCTGCCAGGATAAATCCTCATGGCACATTCACAGTACTTTAGGAAGACACCTCAGATTTAGTAGGCAGAGGAAGGAGCTGGGAGTGTGCTGGGAGGTCTGTGAAGGAAGTCAAAAGACAGCCAGACCTTGCAATAAAATTTCACCCCAATGGTTTGACTCCATTCACTTCCATTCATCCAGAAGGAGACCAATGAATTATACTTCTTGCTTTACAGCAGGGGTGGGCAGTTCATTTTAATATGAGAAACTGGGAATGTTGTGGAGGGCCAAACTAATAGACTGAACTTAATTCTCTCAATATTAATTTTATTGTTTTATAAAAAACAGTAAGTTATATGGTTTCGATCAGTGGTGGGTTTCAAATTTTTTACTACCAGTTCTGTGGGTGTGGCTTGGTGGGCGTGGCAGGGGAAGGACACTGTAAAATCTCCATTCCCACCCCACTCCAGGTGAAGGATACTGTAAAAGCTCTATTCCGTTCCCAATCCAGGGGAAGGTTACTGCAAAATCCCCATTTCTTCCCAATCAGCTGGGACTTGGAAGGCAGAGAATAGATGGGGGTGGGGCCAGTCAGAATTTTTACTACTGGTTCTCCGAACTACTCAAAATTTCCGCTACCGGTTCTCCAGAACTGATCAGAACCTGCTGAAACCCACCTCTGGTTTCGATTACTGTGAAGGTGTGTAGGCACGCACACATGTACATTAAAAAATACATTAAAAAATAGCAGTTGCCTTCAAAATAAAAGCAATGTGATTGTATTGTGTGCATGTTGTACACTTATTTGCATTTGATTTTTTTATTTTCTGATTGACCTCACATGGACTGGACAGGGACAGCCAAAAAACTGGATGTGGTCTGAGGAGGACGGTGTGAAATGCACAGGTCTGTTTTACACTGTAACCCATGATTATATTTTATACACTATAAACTTTAACGCTCATTGAATCATGACAATGCCTTCCTGGATTAGGCCTAATCTGTTTTCCCCCATCTCCTGAATGTTTAAAAGTGCTCCTCAACCTGGAAAGTGTTATTTTAATTTTCTTTCATGCCCTGGGGTGTAACCCCAACTCAAGACCATTGTGGAAAATGTAAACAGCAGCTCCTAATAATCGCCATTTGTTACTATTGCCAAGGAATTTAAAAGAATCCCAGAAATGATGGAGTCATCTGAGGACATTTCGTCCAATGGCCCTACAGAACTAAAGATGGCCCTGAATTTATCTTCCATGAATTTGGTTAATCCTTTCAACATATCATATAGACCAGAGCAGGGGTGGGTTCTACTTACCTTTACTACCAGTTCGCAACGGGATCGCGCGTGTGCTCTTGCTTCACTCACGCACATGCCTTGCTTCTGCGCATGCGCAGAAGCATCTGATGACATCAGGGTCAGTGGGCGGAGCCTCCCACCGGTTTTACTACCGGTTCTATAGAACCGGTCCGAACCGGGGGCAACCCACCACTGGACCAGAGGTGGGTTTCAGCAGGTTCTGACCAGTTCTGGAGAACCGGTAGCTGAAATTTTGAGTAGTTCGGAGAACCAGTAAATACCACTCTGACTGGCCCCACCCCCATCTATTCTCTGCCTCCCGAGTCCCAGCTGATCAGGAGAAAATGGGGATTTTGCAGTAACCTTCCCCTGGAGTAGGGTGGAAATGGAGATTTTACAGTATCCTTCCCCTGCCATGCCCACCAAGCCACACCCACAGAACCGGTAGTAAAAATTTTTGAAACCCACCACCGATATAGACTGAAAGGATTTGATAATGCTTCAGAATTGCCCTTGTAAGTTTCTAAGGAGGCTGTGAAAACTTAAGAGCCACTGTGATGTTGCAGGTAGAAGATTAGGATAGCAGCAAAGTGTCTTGGCTTCAGCTCCTTAGTCATGAAAATTGCAGGCTTTGTCACTTACATCCACACTTTCCTTTATTATATTTATAAATTAAAAAGAAAGTTTACCTAAAATGTTCTCCTTCCTGAAATGGAGGGCAAAAAGGCTATGGATATATCCACAATGTGAAGAAATCAAGCAGCATCACAGTTGTCTGATCTCCAGGATCTATTTCCCAAGGAATCTTCCCCACTCTGTTTAATAACCAGACTGGCTTTGCTTCTCCAACTGCTTAGAACAATGGCAGAATAAAAACAGAAGGTAAAACTCACTTTATTGGGAAGACTGATCATCATTTATGGTGCTGCTACTTCTATTGACTTTTTAATGATTATTTGTAGTGGCTGAACTACTCACATATTTATGTATGTATGCTGCCTTAAGGATGGTGTGTCATCATCGATGGAACTATGGATTATGAATTGTATCAGTAAATTCTACAGGAAAATGTCAGGGTATCTGTCCATGAATTGAAGCTCAAGAGAAAGAGGGTCATGTAGCAAGCTTATGATCCCCAAACATACAAATCATACAACCAAAGAAAGCAGATGTTATATAATAATGTCCTGTCCTTCATCATATAGAAACATTGTGGAAGGACCTGAAGCAGGCTCATTGGCATCCTTCAGTCTCAAGAGACTATGGTATCGTGCTCTGGAAAGAGGTCCTAAAACAGCATCTAGTGTGACTAAAAAGGCCAATTCGAGAATGGCAATCCCTTCCACACTGAGGGCAGATACATTCTGTCCCCTGCCCAGCCCCCAGATTTCACTGGTTCCGAGACTGCCTCTTTTCCTCAGCCTGCCGAACAAGTGTCTGTTCGAATTGGAGAAGGCCATGCTGCATCTTTAGTCTCCAAGCTGAACGATCGGAGGTCAAGGTTTCCCAGTTGTTAATGTCCATTCCCAGGGCCTTTAGGTCTGTCTTGCAGATATCCTTATATCACAGCTGTGGTCTCCCTCTGAGGTGCTTTCCCTGCACTAATTTTCCATACAGGAGATCTTTCGGAATCCGACCATCAGCCATTCTCACGACATGCCTCAGCCAGCGTAGACGTCACTGTTTCAATAATGTATACATGCTAGAAATTCCAGCACGTTCCAAGACTGCACTATTTGGAACTTTGTCCTGCCAGGTGATGCTAAGAATTCGTCGTGGACAGCACATATGAAAGGTGTTCAACTTTCTCTCCTGCCGTGCGTAGAGGGTCCAAGACTCACTGCAGTACAAGAGTGTGCTCAGGACGCAGGCTCTATAGACCTGGATCTTTGTATGTTCCGTCAGCTTCTTATTAAGCCATACTCTCTTTGTAAGTCTGGAAAATGTGGTGGCCGCTTTACCAATACGTTTATTCAGCTCAGTATCTAAAGAGAGAGTGTCAGAGATAGTTGAGCCGAGGTACACAAAGTCATGGACGACCTCCAGTTCTTGTGCAGAGATTGTAATACAGGGAGGTGAATCCACATCCTGACCCATGACTTGTGTTTTTTTCAGGCTGATCGTTAGTCCAAAGTCTTGGCAGGCCTTGCTAAAACTGTCCATAAGTTGTTGAAGGTCTTCAGCAGAGTGAGCAGTGACGGCATCATCATCAGCGAAGAGGAAATCCCGTAAGCATTTCATCTGGATTTTAGACGTTGCTCTCAATCTAGAGAGATTAAAGAGTTTTTTGAATTGTATCAGTAAATTCTACAGGAAAATGTCAGGGTATCTGTCCATGAATTGAAGCTCAAGAGAAAGAGGGTCATGTAGCAAGCTTATGATCCCCAAACATACAAATGATCCCCAAAACATACAGCCAAAGAAAGCAGATGTTATATAATAATGTTATGGAGTTGCCAAGTCAACATCCTGTCCTTCATCCTATAGAAACATTGAGGAAGGACCTGAAGTAGGCTGCTCATGCAAGAAAGCCCACCAACATCCTTGAATGGAAGCGGTTCAATAAGGAAGAATGGACCAAATTCTTCCAAGCTGATACAGGAGTGAACCACAGTTATTGGAAATGCTTAGTTGCAGTTATTGTTGCCCAAGAAGGGCACACCAGTTACTGAAAGCAAAGTATCACATACTTTTGCCACACACAAATTTGTAGCTTTGGATCATTCTTCTCAATAAAAAAGTGAACAAGTATAATTTCCCACAAGTGCTTTTTCAAAAGGTAACCCGACTTTCTTTGTTTTTTCTTGAAAACATTTTACTTCTCACCCAAGAATCTTCAGTTCTGACAAAGCTGAAGAAGCTTCTTGGATAAGAAGTGAAATGTCTTCAAGAAAAATCAAAGTCCAGTTGCTTTTTGAAAAAGCACCTATGGGACAGCCATACCCTGAATGATTGAGAATCTCCATAGAGAATGAACAAGTGTAATATTTCTGACTCATTTGTTTACTTTGGTTCAGGGATGAAATCAGCAGGTTCTGACGGGCTCTGGAGAACCGGTAGCAGAAATAATGAGCAGTTCGGAGAACCGGTAGCGGAAACTTTGAGTAGTTCAGAGAACTGGCAAATACCACCTCTGGCTGGTCCCAGAGTGGGGTGGGAATGGAGATTTTGCAATATCCTTCCCCCAGGAGTGGGGAGGGAATGGGGATTTTGCAGTATCGTTCCCCTGCTACGCCCACGAAGCCACGCCCACAGAACCGGTAGTAAAAACATTTGGATTTCACCACTGCTTTTGTTCCTTTTATCTAGTTTAAGACTTGTATGGAGAACAGATCACCTTTTAAGTTATATTTTTTTGCCGAACGATTGAAAATTCAGAAGGATTCACACATTTTAAAGCACCACTGTATTTGCAGCATGCAAGTTATTCCTTGCCACTGAAAAGGCACATTAGTGAATGTGCCCTTAAAAATATTTTTTAAAAAAATATTGGAGAACTCACCCAGAGTTTTGAAGAAAAAGGTGAGGCAGTTATAGAATGGTGAAGAGCACTGACACAGAACTGTTACTCATTAGGGTTCAGACAATGAGGTGGAACTCTAGCTGGTCTACCTTGATGATTTATGACAGAATGTACAAACAGATTTCACTGAAAAAGAATTGTGATTAACTTTTATTCACTTGGCCCGAGTCTATATTCACACAACAAGTGAACATCTTCTATTCAAACTTAGTTTGTTTTGTTTACATTAAATACATTAAACAATACATTTTGTTTAATGTAATGCATGTACTCAGAATATTTGGTTAAAAAAGGGTAAATCGTAGTTAATTTGACCATGCTTATGAGCCGTGGTGGCGCAGTGGTTAGAATGCAGTATTGCAGGCTAAATCTGCCCACAGCCAGGAGTTTGTTCCTGAATGGCTCAAGATTGACTCAGTCTTCCATACTTCTGAAGTTGGTAAAATGAGAACTCAAATTGTCAGGGGCAATATGCTGACATTGTAAACCACTCAAAGAGTGCTTTAAAGCACTGTGAAGTGGTATATAAGTCTAAGTGCTATTGCTATGTAACTGAACCCAAGCACTGATGTAAAGATATGCATAAACAATGTACAGGGCACCCAAACACATAAGACCCTTTTCTGTAGTGGGCAGTACAAGGCGGTCTACAACAATTAGCTACGCAAGATCTCCAGGCTATTCCTGAATTCTGAAATGAAATATATTTCATGCTAAGTAACCATTGGAGCTTGGAAGGGGGGTGGGGGAAGCAGAGATTGGCTTATGTGGAGAATTTTCCCTTTTTTCCCACATCTGGTCCTCATAAAACAGCAACCAGCAAAATGCTTGAGATCCAATTTCTTCATCAGCTGCTTGGAGATGAGATTCTACCGGTGTGGGGTGGGGAAAAAGTTGTTCTCTTAGAAAAAGAGAGACATTGCCTCCATATTAAAATGCCGTTCTGATTCTTATTTTCTGCTTGGAAATCCTTGCTTCTTTTCTCTTCTTTGTCTGCTTTGCTGGTCTTATCTGCAAAATATGGACTAAATTCTCCCGAAAAAAAATATTTTCCTGTGGCAATGGGTTGTCTTGTTAATAGAATGTCCTCATGCTACTGTCATCCTGGCCTAGTCAGCCTAATATTTGTGGTTTCTTGTCTGACTATTTTTCAGAACCGGTAGACATCTGGCTTAGCAGTCATAGCATTCCTGCAGCTGTTTTAAAAAGATAAATTTTTGTGAAAAAGATTTCTTTTTCACAAAAGAAATACAAGAAAAGGAGGAAAGGAGGAAACAGAATACTATATGGTATGGGAGAAATGGTATGAATGGTTAGAGGAGAGGTATAAAGGCCAAGGAAAGAGTAAATGAGGAAGATATAGGAGTTGAAATGTAGTAACAAACAAGTGGAAATGGAACGGACATAGAATCAGGGGTGGGTTCTACTTACTTTTACTACCGGTTCGCATCATGCCCGTGTGCTTCTGCGCATGCGCAAATCAACTTTGATGATATCCAGGTCAGTGGGCGGAGCCTCCCACCGGTTTTACTACGGGTTCTTGCGAACCGGTCCGAACCGGGGGCAACCCACCACTGCACAGAATCAGTGTTGGGTTGCCCCCAGTTCACACCGGTTCTATAGAACTGGTAGTAAAACTGGCGGGAGGCTCTGCCCACCCACCCCGATGTCATCAGAACGCTTCTGTGCATGTGCAGAAGCTTCTGCGCTTGCGCGTGGCCCCATTGCAAACCGGTAGTAAAGGTAAGTAGAACCCACCCCTGCATAGAATGTATGATTGAAATTGAGTACATGGCTATCTTTATGTATATAAATCAATATTAGAATCATATGTATAAATGGTAAATGGAAGTAAGGGAGAAAAATGGATATATAAGAAATGTTTACTGATGCGAAAATGTTGAAAAGAAGAAAATTGTAAAAAAAAAATTGTTTTTTTTTAAAAAACTGTTTAATAAAAATTATCTTTTAAAAAAAGATACATTTCCACTATCTATGTTTGGATTCTCAAAATCCTTTTGAGAAGATTTTGTCCATGGGTGCCTTTTTTCAACACACACATTCCCATTTCACTTCTGCAAAAGTTTTCCCAGGCAAACAGCAGTTAGATGCTCATCCCGTTGAAAATCTGTTTAGAAGTTGCAGAGCCAGAGCCAACAATGGTGGCTTCTGGGAGTTGTAGTTTAACCACATGTGAAGGATCATTGCAAGGAGGGCACGAGTATAATGCAAATATTTATATCTACATCTAGCTGACCATGTGGAGCAGAAAAGTTAGGACTGTTACCATCAGATTAACCCTCTACTCCACAATTTGGAGTCCCGCCCACACGGGGTTTCATAAAGATCTACCCCAGGACATATAACTTTTAGTCATGAGATCTGTATTCTAACAATATGTGATGCACACAGGATGTCAATAGATTTGAGAAGTAGAACTATTTAATCTTAGGAGAATTCTCAAAGTGACAACGAGAAACAAAACAGAAAATCTGACAGTTATAAAAACAAAGGGCTGATGGATACGGACCACACCATCTGGGAGAAGGGGGTCAAATAAAGTGTGTGTGTGTGTGTGGAACCCAAGCAAAAGAGATTTGGGGTTTTTTTGTGAGTTTGCTTAAGTGATTGCTTCCTGCCTGAGAAGGAAGTCTGACAAGATACAGAGACTTTGTGAAATATTTCATGCTCACCTGATCCATTTGGTTGCAGCAAAGAAGATGGTGACATTTTTGGCTGGATTTGTATGACCTTTGAAGACTAAAAGTTTGGCCCAATAATCCTGCGTCCACACCCATCCCCATCTCCTCCATCTCCTCCAAAGCTCTGACTCTGATATTATCCAAATATCAGAGGAACCACCTTAGACAAACCAGACTTTGTATCCTATGTTAAAGTAGAAAGGCAATACATGCATGCTTGTTATCTGGCTTAGTATGTCATGTGACCACAACTTCCATCTGTCTGCTCAAAGAGCAGCCCCATAGGAGGTCTTCATATTCAGATGTTTTTTGGATCCATAATCAGAATGTCTCTGTAGCTTCCTTTCCTTCTTTCCTTCCCTTCCCTTCCCTTCCCTTCCCTTCCCTTCCCTTCCCTTCCCTTCCTTCCTTTCCCTTCCCTTCCCTTCCCTTCCCATCCTTTCCCCACTCCTTTTTTTCCTACAGAGTCCTGTTGGGATTGTTCAGGTAATGACATCTTTCCCCCCCCATTTCCATTAATTATTAAATTTATATGCTGCCCATCTCACTATCCAAACCGACTCTGAGCAGTTTTTAATTGGACGCTTTCACCTGAAGTTTGTGCTTAAAAATGACGACTGGATTATTTTTTAAAAGGCAGGCTTTTAAAAACTTTGTTTTTGAGTTTGGGAATCCTAGTGGTTGATAGATACAGCCAGGGTGGGTTTCAGCAGGTTCTGACCAGTTCTGGAGAACCGGTAGCGGAAATTTTGAATAGTTCGGAGGACCAATAAATGCCACCTCTGACTGGCCCCGCCCCCATCTATTCTCTGCCTCCCGAGTCCCAGCTGATCGGGAGGAAATGCGGATTTTGCAGTAACCTTCCCCTGGAGTGGGGAAGGAATGGAGATTTTACAGTATCCTTCCCCTGCCACGCCCACCAAACCACGCCCACAGAACCAATAGTAAAAATTTTTGAATCCCACCACTGGATACAGCATACATATTCTGGAACCTCTGATCAAAAGGCAGAGTTTTAGTGTTAGAAACACGGCTCATCAAATCCTTCTCAAGTTCTTGCAGAACCTTACACCCAATCTTGAAAATCTGAAGAAGCCAAGGGAGAAAGACCCTTTAGCAGCTGAGGATCAGTGATGGGACCAACAGCTCCAAACGCTCTCCTTTTTTTCCAGTGGTTTTCTGCATACAGTTGTAATGAAAGGCATTACTTGGTTTTGAAAGATCCCCATGCTGATCATAACAAAGAAAAGGGATGGAGGAGAATTTACTAGTCTTGATATTTTCTCCTCCTCCAGGCCGCTCGCCATGTGGGGTTAACAGAAAAAAGAGCTTGCAGACTAGAAAGGACTGTGATGAGGCACACAAGTATATATTTTGCGTCTGCACTTAATGGTTTGAACCAATGTTTTTTTAAAAAACGCTGTGTGTTTAAAACAGAGCCCACAGTGAGATAACTTCAGATATTTAGCCAAAGGGCAGAGATCTGTTATTAAACTATCCATCAACTATCTATCCATTTGCAAAGTCTCAGCCAGTGTTGAATAATGATTATAATCTATTCGGTATTTGCTGTAGTTGCAAATAGACAAATGAAAGATTAAGTTAAAAGAAGACTGCAAATATTTTCAGAAATGTAAGAGTTTTAGGCAGCAAGGCTGGCATTTTTGGCAAACATTTTCTTAAGAGGAGAAAGGCTGAGTGTGTTGACGTAACACATACGATACACCAAACTATAAAAGAAGGATGTGGGTTGACTTTGCATCACACATTAGCCTAAAACATGCATAGCTAGCTTAAAAATACAGGTAGTCCTCAATTTACAACCACAATTGAGTCCGTTTGTTAAGCCAGTGTTTCTCAACCTTGGAAGCTTGAAGATGGGTGGACTTCAATTCTGGGAGTTGAAGTCCACCCATCTTCAAGCTACCAAGGTTGAGAAACACTGTGTTAAGCGAATCAGTCCATAGTTGTTAAGAGAATCTGATTTCCACATTGACTTTGCTTGTCAGAAGGTTGCAGAAGGTGATCACATGACACCCCCCTCCCCAGGGGTGGGCTCTAAATTTTTTTACTACCGGTTCTGTGGGTGTGGTTTGGTCATGTGACAATTCTTTAGGATTTAGCAGAGGTACTGGTCTACCAGGCTTTTAACTGCTTGCAGAGCTGTACCAATCTACCCATTTGTTTTTGGAGCGTTCTGGTCTACCCATTTGTTTTTGGAGGCACCGGTCTACCCATTTGTTTTTCGAGGCACCGGTCTACCCATTTGTTTTTCGAGCGCACTGGTCTACCACCACACTGCCTTTTAACACTGATCAGCTGTAGGGCGATCCTTTGAAGCCCCGCGGCAAGAGTTTAAACAGTTTTTTTCCTTCTAGCCGATCAGCTGGGACTCGGAAAGCAGCGAATCGATTAGGGTCGGGGCCAAATAAAAGGTAAGAATAACGCGGGTGGTGGCTGGGAGGGCCCAGCTCCCGAACAAAGAGAACCGGTTTAGTGACATCATATCGTCATTGCTACTGGCTCGGCCTGAACCGGGAGGAACCCACCACTGCCCCCCCCCAGGACACTGCAACCATCATGTGAGTCAGTTGTCAAACATCTGAATATTAATCTCATGATCACAGGGGATCCTGCGATGGTCATAAGTGTCAAATATGGTCATAAGTCACTTTTTTCAGTAACTTTAAACGGTTACAAGGTGAGCTGTTGTAAGTCGCAGACAACCTGTATTTGTATGATCCCAGGCAGGATTGAGACAATGACTCCACTGCTGTAGTGTTGTCTTACCCAACAACAAACTACAATTTCAATTTCCAAGTTAGGAAAGAAAGCCTGTGCTTCCTTGGTGATCTTTTTAGCTGGCTGATCCCTATTTAATTTAGCATCATGATCTTGGGTTTCTATGTTTCTTTGACCCGTTTCTAGGGAGTGACATAGACAAAGAGGGAATGAAATTATGGACCATGTCCTTCTCACTCCCGTGTCTGTGGAAGTGTCTTCGTCTCCCATCATACATTGTCCCAAATTCAAAACCAAACATGATTTTATTAGTTTCCAATATTCCCTTATATCCCCTCCATCTGCTGTTCCTTCTTGGGGGCGGGTGAGGGGTGGAGAAAAATCACCGTTGTTAAAAAAAGAAAAAAAAAAGCCACAGGCTCTAATTAGTGTACAAAGCGTGTAACATTTGTTTCATTGCGATAACCTTGCCAGATTGATTTGGGTTGTTTTTAAAACAGCTGCCACATTGCAGCTTTGATCACAATCCTTTGCAATCTGGGACAGCCCTACGTTCAAAGGACTCTTCTTTCTTCACTCTCCTTCATCTCCTCGGCCCACTTGTCCCTTCTCCCCTGGGAAGCCACTTTCCCCAGCATTGCATCGGCAACTGGCTGTAAAAATGGCATAGCCTTCGTGTCAGAGCGTGGAGTCCCAGAGTGCCAAGCATGACTGAAGGAGGCCTCTGGTATCCCTCAGTCTCGTTTCAAGGACTACTGGGAATGGGGGTATAGGTTCCCATTATACAGTCCTGCGTTAAGATATACCATAACTAATTAGCTAATCACTAAGACAAACTGCATTTTGCAACTTATATGTTTGATTAAAATAAGCATATACTGCGTTTCTTTTCTTCCTTCTTTCCTTTCTCCCTCCCTCTTTCCTTTTTTTTAACTGCATTCTCCTTCCCTCTTCCTCCCTTTCTCCCTCCCTTTTCTTTCCCGGCTTCTCCCTCCCTCCCTCTTTCTTTCCTTTTTATAACTGCCTTCTCCTGCCTCCTTCCTTTCCTCCCATTTTTCTTTCCTGGCTTCTCCCTCCCTCCTTCCATCCCTCTTCCTCCCTCCCTCCCTCCTTTTTCTTTCCTGCCTTCTTCTTCCTCATCTCCTCCCTCCCTCCCTCATAAATGTGTTATGTATATGCTTGTCTTCTGTGACATTAATACTATTTCAATCTAATGATTCTAAGCAGAGCAAGCATTTGGTGGTGGTGACATCCCCTGTTTGAAGGGCTTTGTCTGACATTGATTTTAATGTCCTTTTTGTTAGCAAATTCATTCAATTCCCCAGAACCATAGAATTTCCCCAAATTTTACATACATTTTATGTCACAGCTAATTGGTCTTATTTACCTGCTCTTTAATTCAATTCAGTCTTTATTACGGTCATGGACCAGCACATTTACCTGTTCTTTAAAACGCCTTGTATTGGTTTACTGTTGTTATTATATTTTATTCATCATACTGCATTTTGTTATTTCCTGTGTATATGCTTGCTTGGAAAAATGCATCTGGGATCTTAGATCACATTATCAGATTAAACATCATAAAAGGAACTTCCACTGTTCACTAGCAAGAGTGAATAAGCTACATATTACTTTGTAGGTGACATATAATTGTAGCCATAATTCTGTTTCATATAAATATATGCATGTGGGTGGCCATATAAAAATGACTGATAAATAAATAAAAATCACGTCAGATTCATGACAATGAAATGGGAGCTTCTGATGGGGAGGTGGGGGGAGTTATGAATTCCAGTTGTTACTGAATACCATTTTATTAATAAGGGAGAGTAGCAAAATAATAATAAGGGGGAATCTATTTGAACTATTCTTGTGAGTTTCCATAAAACATGTGCTTCTTCCATTGTGGAACACAAGAAGCTGGATTAGGGGCATACAATCTGTGAGCTGGAAAGAGACTTTAGACCATTAATCCCCATCTTTGTTTAACACTGAAATCCAAATTAAAACATCCTTGAAAGATGGTTATCTAACCTCCATGTGAACTCCATGCTATCAATGAAGGAGACCGGCCACTTTCTGAATGCTTGGTTCTTCTGTCAAAGTCTTCTGTAATAACAATAGCAAAAAAAACCAGGTTGTCTTGATGTCAGTCCTTGTGACTTTGATGGAGGGGAGGGAGGGAGGATCTCCATGCAGATAAGGAAATGATCTGTCATTGTTTCTCCCCTCCCCCCTCCTGGCTGATCTTCCATCCCAATGCTAACCCTAGTTGACCTTGCTTAGCTTTCTACCATTTACTAATAGTTCAAAAGCTGCTACTTCCTTCTCTTCCATTTGTGGCTCCCAGTCTGCCCCCTATCAAATGACCAAATGATCCAACAGATATTAGATGCTTGGGACTTCCATAAAATCAGAGATGATAAAGACTCTTGACAATCAGGCTTCCTTCTCTCCTGGCCTTCTATTTTTTTTCCTTATCAGATAACAAGGGAGTGTTCACTATTGTGTTGAACATTGTGGCATTGATCTGAATTAATCATCACACTCAACTGCATAATGGCATACAAAATTCTGCAAAGTCATTTCTTTTTTAAAAAAAACCTAAAAACTCTAAAAGGATATTTTAGAAATCCCTTGAGTGAGTGAGGAATAAAAAGAAACATATAGATAGAAGACATTCAGAGTAAATAAGGCAATGCATGTGGGGAAAATATATAAAGATGAATTAAATGCAGAAAGGCTGAAAAGCAGAACGGCAGAAAGAAAGAAAGAGAAAGAGAAAGAGAAAGAAAGAAGAAAGAAGAAGGAAGGAAGGAAGGAAGAAAGAAAGAAAGAAAGAAAGAAAGAAAGAAAGAAAGAAAGAAAGAAAGAAAGAAAGAAAGAAAAGGTTTGTTTTCATACAGAAACAGATGAGACTAACTAGGAATTGGGATTCTGATTATCACCAACCCTTCTTTGAAAGGACGAATTTGTGTTTCTGAAATATCTGAGTTTCCATCCCACCATGTAAAGAGAAAAGTCCCTCAAGGACGGAAACGCGGGGCGGCCAAACGGCTCTTTGAAGCGATCGAATAGATAGATGCGCGCGATCCTAACGAGAGCTGCTCCTCGGGCCGCCTCTGGGCCGGCTGGTCTGAGAGGCGGAGAAGACGGAGGGGGCGAGGAAATGCAGAAGAGCCAAGAGCGACAGAGAGAGAGAAATAGAGAGAGGGGGGGAGAGAGAGAGAGGGGAGGAGCCGGGGAGGGAATAGGGGCATTGGAAGAAGGACGCCGGGGGGGGGGAGAGAGAACCAGGCGGCGACGGCGGTGGCGGAGGGGAAGCGGGAGCAGCAGGGACGAAGACGTCGCGGGGTGCGGGCGGGGCAGCGGGGATGCTGCTGCCAGGAGGCTGCAGGCGCCGCACGGTTCCAGAGCGGCTGGGCTTGCCGTCCGCGGCGCGCAGTTGAGGCTCGGTGCCCCTGCAGTGCCCTCCGTGCAGGATTCTGCCTGCGCTGAGCAGGGCTCGGGCATGAAGGCGAGTCCGGAGCCAGGGAAGCAGCAGCCGGAGCAGCAGCAGCAGCAGCAGCAGAGCCAGGTGGCTGCAGCTGCGGCTGCGGCGGGTAAAGAGCCCGATCCGCGCTGGGCAAGGGACGGCGCCCGGAGCGAGGCGACGGAGGCGGAGCGGCTGCGCACCCGGGAGCGGCTGGAGGCCACACTCGCCGGGCTGGCCGAATTGGAATTCCTGCGCCAGCGGCAGGAGCTGCGCGTCAAGCGGTTACTGGCCGCCGCGCCCTCGGCTTCCCTGCGCGGGACCTGCTCCGGGGAAACGACGAGAGCCGCAGCAGGAGCCGGGATCCCGCCGCGCAGCTTAGAAGAGAAGTTCCTGGAGGAGAACATCCTGCTTCTGCGGAGGCAGCTGGTGAGCCGGACCAGCCAGCCAGCCAAGGCGGTGGGCGCGATGCAGGGGCGCAGCCAGACCAAACGGGGAAGGTGGGGGGGAGGCTGTGGAGGTTCCGGGACCTCATCAGCTACGGAAGGACGGGGGGGGGGGGGGAGAAAGGGCGGGAACCCGGCTCTGAGTTTTATTTTAACCCAGTTCCATACCGCTTGGGACACGTGGGAAGCGTATCTCTGAGCGTGTACAAAGTGCCTCTGTAGGATGCATTCAGGAGGGAATTCATTACACGGACTACATGAAAATTCGGCCACTTCTTCTTCAGGGAATCTCCCATTTCTCTCAGGAGAAAAGGTTTCTGTTTGGCATTAGTTGCGCCAGGTCGTTTCCCCTGCAGATGAGAAACATGGCAGGGTTGGTGGGAAGAAGGGGGTTTGAAAAATGGGGGTCACTTACATTGCGTGGGTGGAGGCGGAGGTTTCAAGATCTGCCAGGACCCACCCAAGGTAACGATACTCCAAGCTGCTAACAGTGGATCTTCCTCCCCGCCCTTCATACCGAGCAGTTTTGAGTTTTGGGGCTTGGCGAGACAAGAGGGTTGCCGGGAAGTTTAGCCTTTTCGGTTGCATCCTCCTATTGTGAAGACCCATAGGAGCACCGGCTTCCTCATTCCTCCTTTCCCTGCAGAAGAACCTCAGCAGAAATGAGGATGCGGGTATGTGTGTGTGTCAGATGGGAGGAATGGCGAGGCAGTTGCCAACTCGTTTGTGAAATGGATGAGTTTGCTTCTGCATGAGGTGCTGAAGGTACCTCGAGGGTCTCCTTAGACTCAAAGTCTGTGGCAGAGAGGCTGTGGGGTGGCAGGGTCTCCAGTGGAGGTCAGAGAGGAACCCCTGAAACCCCCACCTTTGGAAATATGGAAGCCGGCTCCTGTATATTTCGGTGGGAGCCCAGAAGGGAAAAGCCAGGAACTTTTAAGCAATATATTGAAAGGTTGTTTCTCTGTGTTCCTAAAGCATCACAGTTCCAGGGCTGGGTGCACACAATATTAAGAAGAACCAAATTCTGTGTGGCCACCTTCCATTACTCTTAATGAAGGTCTCTTCGGAGCAGGACAGCTGGCCTCCTCCTTCCAGCCTTCTGCATCAGTGCCTGCCCTTGGCCCATCCTTCTTTTGGCTAACAATAGCTGCCATACCTGTAGTATATGGTGATTAATTACTGCAGCTCCAAATGAGGGGCTTTTTGACATCCCACTGCACGGGAATGGGACCAGCGGGAATAACCTCCTTGCCCTTCCCCTAAATCCAACACGCTTAGGCTTTGCTGCTGCAGCTAGCTCAGTTTTTCCATTCGCTTACAGATATGGGTGTGTGCATGTGTAAAGGCTTAGGAGGAGCCTCGCAGGAGTCTTTGGTTGGGCATCAAGTTGCATATTAGATTGGCTGCTGAAGGGAATCAATTCACCTCCTGCAGATGCTGTTAATGTTGTTGATGTTGGCAGTCGACAAAAGATGGGGCTGGACTGGGAAGAAAGCATTTATCTTATTGAGTTCCTGTCAGTGCTGCGGGAGCACATGTGGGATGCTTGCATTAATACTGTAGTGCAGCGGGAGGAAAGGACTTAAATGAATCCAGCCATCAGCTGAGTTCCATTGTTACTCTGCAAAAGGGGTGCAAATGTGCTTGAATTTAGTCACTGGAGATAATGGATGCTGCCCCCCCCCAAGGAAACACCATTGTTGAAAAAAATCCTATAGAAATGAATAGGTAAGGTACCGAAAGTCAATAAAGAGTGCTCTCTTTTGCAGCACATTTAACACAGGCTGCAAAGAGCTTGAAAAGGGGAAAATCAAAATTGAGTGCTGCTTTGCTCAACTGGAATCTCATCCCATTTCCCAGTTCCTAGAATGGAACTATAGGAAAAGAGCCGGCTGAGCTGGAAGGCGGGGTTAAACGTGTCATCAGTTGGAGTCATTGCGGTGCCATAAGAGACCCAAGTCCATCTCCCTATGAATTCCATTGATCCTTATCTTGCACCAATTTAGCTTTTGACTGTTAGTTGACTAGATTTTTGTATAGAAGTAGCAATAATAAACTCTTCCGTGCTTTCAACTTCACAAATGTGCCTGGTTATTTGTGCCTGACAGGAAGATGTGAATGCAGTTTTCTAGAGAGCAAATGAACCTTTTGGAGCATGAAGATCCCTGCTGGATGACTACCAGCAGTAAATCTGGAGATCTTGCCGTCCATCATTTTAATAGGGGTTTGGACTTTGTCACTTTCCAGGAAGGCTGTTAATTTAGTCAAAATCAAAAGGAAGGATTGTTAGAACTACAGTCTTGGGGCCGCTGCTTAAGCAGCCAATAAAGAGTGGCTGTGCTTGTGGTTTCTGTGCCAGCAAAACTCATATCTGCAGAGTCAGTGAGGCAAAAACCAGAAAATAGAGGAAATGTTGCAGATGATACAAAACTGACTTTGAACCTAATATTAAGGGTTGAGAGAATATGCAAAATTTAACACTTCCAAGAAACTTCAAGGAAATGGAGAAAAGACAGAATGTGGTAGGAAGCTTGATACAAGCCCAAAAGCGTGTGATTTGTGAAATTCAGTCTTGTTTTTTGGTCCTCATTTCTCTCCCTGGAAGAAGCCAATGGCAATTCCCTTGAGACTTCTTATCAAGGAGACACTGGATGTGTCCATGATGTCACCACAGGAATCAAGCTCAATGTGAAGGAAATATTATCCCCCTCCAGCACAATTGCCAATTTGCAATCCTGCAGACATCATCATTTGCATATCAGTCCTTTTAGAGATAAGAAGAGCCTCATTTTACGCTTTAGGATTTTGGTGGATTTGGTGCCAGTCAACTCCATAGCTTTCCTTTCCCATTCAAAAAGTCCCATTTGAAATATCCCAACAGATCTATTCTTGGGGCATTTAGGGCTTTGGAAATACTCCATCTTTTCTTACAACCTTTACCAGTTGGCATCCAAGGAATGGAATTAGAATTCAGAAACCAGATGAGGCTAGGACAAAAATGATGTTTGATTTGTGTGTCAAAGAGAGAGCAGGCATGAATGTGATTCAACTTATGTTTTACTGTCTGAGCCAGGAGCAGGAATACAAAAAGATCATTTGCATGTTAATCGTTCCAGCCATTCTCACCTATTAATATCCTCAGGAAAGAGATCAAAACAGGGAAGTAATTTGTTATAGTAGGAGGGTATTGGCTTGGAAATGGGAAGATAATTCTTCCCCCCTTTCTTGCTTTGAGACCAATAGCGGTGGGATTTGCATATAAACCTGGACCATAGCTGATTCAATATTGCAACTATGATTTGTAAATGACAGTATCAGTGGCTAACATGTTGCTTAATTAAAAATTGAAGTGAATCCAGCTATAATACAAGTTGTTTCTTTATTTTAAGGAATGCAAAAGCTTTTTTCATTCCATGGTAAAGACCAACTCCAGGAACTGAATGTGGGATATGATTTAATAGCAATGTAATTAATATTAAATAATGAAAAATGATTACAGTTAATTAATGCACATGGTTACTATCAATTCTCATTTGCAATATTATAAACTCAAATACTTTGGCCACCTAATGAGAAGGAAGAATTCACTGGAGAAGAGCCAAATGCTGGGAAAGATTGAGGGCAAAAGAAGAAAGGGACGACAGAGAATGAGGTGCCTGGATGGAGTCACTGAAAGCAGTTGGTGTGAGCTTAAATGGACTCCAGAGGATGGTAGAGGACAGGAAAGCCTGGAGGAACGTTGTCCATGGGTTCGCGATGAGTCGGACACGACTTTGCAACTAACAACAACAAAACTCTTATGGAGTCTCTACTTCAAGGACAGTGTAGCAAACTGGAAAATGTCCAGAGGAAGTAACCAAAGAAGGTGAGGGGGGGCTAGCTACCAAGTAGCATAAGGACTTTTTTTCAGGAGCTGAGTATATTAAGCCAGGAAATCTGATTCCTTGGAGATCTGTTAGTATACCAATGAAAGAAAACTATTGCACAGAAGATAGGAACCCAATTAGTGCTTCTAAGCAAAATATCATTTAAAAACATAATAGTTTTTAGTTGTTCAGCAGAGGAACAGATTTGCTCAGAAAAGTAGCAAATTCACAAACTTTCATGCAAAGTTTGAGTAGTCATTTATCAAGAAGTCATAGCAAAAGTCTTTCGGAAAATCTCTCTACTATGCAATCTAGTTTGCTGCCAACCCCTGCTTTACTTAATAATTGTTTACTGAATTAATGGTAACTGAGTTCTGGCCAGATACAATTCAGAGTGCTAGTTTTGACCCAGAAGTTCCTTCATGGTTTGGCCCCAAAGTATCCTAAAGAACATTTATTTCAACTAATGCTGAAGCCTGATTGAGAACATGCCTGGAGAAGTTTCTTGTGGTCTTCCAGTTTTGTGAGGTGAAGGGGGCTAAGCCAGAAAATTCCATTTTCCAATCATGGCAGCCACACTCTGAAAAAAACCTTATTCTGGAAGATAGGTTTCCTCCCTTACTGATGGTTACCAGAAGGTAATGAAGAATGAACTCTTCCCAAAAACCTTTGGGGAGTGACTGAAACCAGATTTTATTACTTAACTAATTAGTTTGTTGGTATTGTGTATTATTTAATTTAGTTTTATTTTGATCTTTCTGATTTTGTAGTGGTTTTATTGGGTTTATAGTGTGAAAGCTTTGTAAATCAATAGCAATTCAATGGTACACACATTCAGTAAATAAATTAATAGCTTGCTAAACCATAGTTTACAAATCACAGTGGCTGAATTAAGACATTATTTTGCTAAATGTGATTTGTTTGAGCAGGTAGTTAGATCCTATAGTCCTCAGGACAACTTTTGGTAAGAAGACGGAGACCCTTCTAGAAGAATTCCAACCTTACTCTGACCTCAATCTATGCATTGATGTGTTCAAGTATTTTATTTAAACTGATGGACACAAAATAGTCTAAATATGATGTTCCATCTTTACTGCCTTCTCTCTTTAAAATATTGAAGATATTGTAAGAAAAGAGACAATTACAAGATGATTACTCTTTATGCTACTGATCTACAAAGGTGTGTAAAATAGCTCTAGACTTTAGTTCTTAATGAGACTGCATCAGAATAACAAAATAACAAAGTTGGAAGGGACTTTGGAGATCTTCTAATTCAAACAGGAGACCTTATACCAGTGTTTCTCAACCTTGGAAGCTTGAAGATGGATGGACTTCAACTCCCAGAATCCCCCAGCCAGCAACGCTGGCTGGGGGATTCTGGGAGTTAAAGTCCACCCATCTTCAAGCTACCAAGGTTGAGAAACACTGCCCTATACCATTCCAAACAAATGGTTATCCAGTCTCTTCTTGAAAACCTCCAGTGATGGAGCACCCACATATTCTGAAAGGAAGCCATTCCACAGATTAATTGTTCTTCTCAGGAAATTTCTCCTTATTTCTAGGTTGGTTCTCTCCTTGATTAGTTTCCATCCATTACTTCTTGTTCTGCCTTCAGGTGCTTTGGGGAATAGGTTGATCCCCCTTCTTCTTTATGACAGACCCTCAACTATTGGAACATTGTTATCGTATAACTCCTAGTCCTTCTTTTAATTAAACTAGTTGTACAACAATTCCTGAAACCATTCTTCATATGTTTTAGCCTTCAATTCCTAATCATCTTTGTTGCCCTTCTCTGCACTCTTTCTAAAGTTTCAATTTATGTAATATAAAGATCAGTTGTTATCATCAGGACTGACATTCCAAATCAGAGATACGGGAGTTGTTGGTGTCATCTTTTCCCCAACAATGACAATTGTA